TTACTTTGGTTAGGTCATGTGTAAATTCTCTGACCACTTGAGATTTTTTTTTCCTGAGATAATTCCATGACTAATGCCAAGCTCCATTTTACAGGAAATAATGCCACACCTAGTACCAAAACCTTTTTTTTTCCAACAAATAATTTGATGACTGATACCAAGATCTATTTCTCCCCAAAATAATTCCATGACTGATACTGTGATCTATTTTCCCCGATGTAATGCCATGACTGATTCCAAGATCTATTCCTCCCAGAAATAATTCCATGGTTAACACCCGCGTCCCATTTCTACCCAGGTATCAAGGGGCGTGTAGTATGGATGGTTCCACTCGTCGCTGTTATGGCTTCTTTGGGCACAGAAGTATCCTCATGGTCCCTTCCCTCACCGCTGGTCGACCTTTATCAATCCTGGTTCCTGTATCCCACGTCTCCATCGCCATCTGAAGAGAACCCTAAGGAGTTAACCGAGAGCCCTACCACTCCTGTAGGGAAAACGACTCCCGGAGAATTTCCCGGGACGTCGACGCCTTCTGTAGCCTCCAGACAAGAGCGCTGGAGGAGGTCGGGCGAAGGCGTGGCTGAAGATCAGGACGAAGGCACTTGCGTCGCCGATCTGACGGAGAGGATACTGCAGCAGGCGACCCGGACGATGGACGTGATTGACGAGTTTAAGGACGAGTATGTAAGTACACGGCTTCTGGAGGTTAGGTCCTGCCTTTGGGATTTTTTTCTTTTTCTTATGTTATGTCTGTTATCACTATTATTATTAAGATTATTATTGATATTATTATTGTTGTTGCTATTATTATCATTATAAATGATATTATTATTATTATTATTATTATTATTATTGTTTTCATTATTATTAATATTGTTAATATTATCATTATTATTATCGTCATTATCCTTATCCCTATTATTATTATCATTATAATTATCATTATTATCACTATTATTATCATTATTGTTATCATTATTATCATTATCATTATTATTTCATCTTTATTATCATTATTAGCATTATCATCATTATTTCATCTTTATTATCATTATTAGCATTATCATCATTATTCCAACTTGATTATCATTATTAGTATTATCATTATTATTTCATCTTTATTATCATTATCATTTCTACGTTAGTGCAACTCGGAACTCATATATGAAACTAACGCCATCCAATAGATAAGCGTAAAAAAAACTGAAGTATTTGATAGATGCTTTGATAGATATTTTCAGTCCACAAACTTTCTTTTCATAGGCCAAGGAAAACTCATGATTCATCACATGACTATAGCTTGTTAGTTCACGTAGCGTTGAGTTTGGTTGGTAAGGTTAGACTGAAGCGCCCATGATTACCGTTATCCTCACTTGCAACAATGCTAATTCGTCCCCTGTGCATTGCACTGAACAAAGCCCCTCCCTCGCCAGACCAGAGACAAGTACAACATGACCTGGGACAAAGCCAGCGCCCACTTCGCCGACGTGACCAGCGACCCGACCTACCTCGTGGCGTGCAGTGAAGAGGAAGACTGCCTGCCGGTTCTCCCCTCGCTACCTACCACGCCCCCTCTTCCCCCCACCGACGACGAGGGGACCAAGACGATCCTGACGAAGCTCTCGGGATATTGTCGCCAATACTGCGAGGCTCTGAACCAGATCTTCCTGGACGAGTCGCTGTTCGAGGAAAGCTTCAGGGAGCACCTCGACGCGGCCCAGCGGAACATGGAGTCCCTGGCCAACCTGCTGGTGAAGGGTGTTGACCTGTGCGACGGCTCTCCGGATAACGAGTTGGTGAAGGGCATGGTTGACATGATCTACAGGATGGAAGGCGAAGACATGAGGAAGCGACGAGGGTTTGGCACCATTCGCCAGTGCCTCCTCGGGCTTCAGTACATCATAGACATCATCTCCGCTGCGACGTACTAGATGTGTGAGCCAGAGAGGTCCAAGTGATGGTGATTGTTGATGGTTTTTATCTTAGTGATGTAGCTCAGAACGTTGTTTATTAATATTTAAAAAAATGTGTATATTTGTGCGTGCGTGTGTGTGTGTTATTACTATTATTACTATTATTATTGTTATTATGTGTGTGTATGTGTGTGTGTGTGTGTGTGTGTGTGTGTGTGTGTGTGTGTGTGTGTATACATGTGTGCGTGTGCGTGTGTATGTGTTCTTATGTTTACTGTATACGAGTATAAAACCTAATGATATGCATATTACTTCATCAAAAATAATAGTCTCTGTTTTAACTATGACGAATATCCGGCTGATGCTTATTCTCGCTTCGATAACAACTATCACATGTTATCTTCTTAATGACAGTTTAAAACAGGCAGATGCAAGGTGGGAGAAATACATGATTTTTTTTGTCTCATCAGTAGTTGTTATTTCAAAACTCTTTTCTTGTGGAGATGGCATATTTTAGTTCCATATGTGTTTTTTTTATAAATGTTATATTTTGTACGCATACTTTGATAATAAAGATGAAAAGCTTT